CCTGACTTGATGGAAGTGTACAAAGTGTGCAAGTGTAAGAATTGATGCTGGTTTGAAGCCAAAGGGTAGTCACACCAAATACTGATTTGTATTTTTCTTCTGTTCGCTCAATTTGCATTTTGTAAATTGATAAACATAAACAATTACAATATATATTTTTGAAAGCATTCTTACTTTACAGCATTTTTTCACACCTGCCTAAAACTTTTGCACAGTATACACACACACACATACATACATATACACTTATACATATAATTAAAAGTTCAGTCTTGTATCAACAACATTTGTCAAAACATTACATCAAAAACTGTCTTGTGTGCCGGCAAAATATTATTGTTCCATGCTGACTTCACAGAGGTTTTAAGCATAGTAAATCCTTTGAAAAATAATTCTTTTAACATTAATAATAATAATGGCAAGACAGTAATTTGATAACAAATTATACAAATTCAACTTCATATAGCAGTAGAATTTGTAGAAGATTTAGTTTTTAGATTCAGTATGCTGAGATGAAATAGTTCCTAATTACCTATCATCCCAGCACCTTTATGAACTTGTAAACTATGATTATGAAAGAAGTTAACATGTAACATGAAAGTACAGAAATTTTGTGTTACTGAAGTTGAAAATTTTTATTTATTTCCTCTGTACACACACACAATTTTAAAAAGCAGATTTTTATGAGGCTAATATTTGCTAATAAAATACAGGAACAATATTAGAACTTTCAAACAGAAAGGCTGCAATGCAATGCAATAAAACAAAATAGAAAAGACTGAAAAAATAAAGAAACTACAGCTGTATTATATAACATGCTATTTCAAAAAGATGATACAGAAGTAGGATGGTTAAAATTAAACTGCGTGGAAGTTTATTTTGCCCCCCTTATTAATAATTTATTTCTTCAGGAAGAAAAACACAGACAATTAATTTAAATTATTGTGGCCTCTCAGCTGAATTCTTGCTTCAACAAAGGTTTCAAAAAATGTCACTGGAGTTAAAGCAACATGTTTGATTCTCATTTATACCATTTATATCCCACTGCAATCCAGAGACTCACAACAGCTTTACAGAAAGATTGTAGTCTAGCCCCCATTATTGAAAAGGTGATACACATAGAAGACTATGCAACTCAAGTAGTCTTCTAATACTCTGTCTGCTTCGCACAGAAAAGCAGTTTTGTTGGCTCTTCTGTGTTAACATTATGCAATCTATGGTTCTGGAAGGGAATTGTAGCAACATCCAGCTACAGGACTGCCTCTGCCCTGTTCAGAGAGATCAGTTGAATTATTTTCTCACGTTCTGCTGCATTGTTCCATGTATTAATCTGATGCTCTGCTCTAATAATGCCCCTGCTAGTTTACTGCTTGGACTGGTTGGATGAGGAAAATGTGTATTTTCTGCTAGGGGGCCTCTCTTTCAACAAAATCCAGGAAGGTTGCTAAATTCTGTTCAGAATCCACTGCTATATGGAGGACTTGGGTCTAATGTAATTATTAATTTGGTATTTATATTGCCATCTGATTAAATCTAATTATATAATCTATTAATAACTCTATCTTTGTAAGTATGTTTTCACCTTGCAATGGTTTTGGTCTTTGACTGTAAATAAATAAATAAATAGACAGACAGACAGACAGATAATTCAATTCTATTGTATGGGAACCTGAAATAAGATCTTTGGGCACAACCAAATGTGTAAGTTACCTTTAAGGACCAAAGGTCCCATTTCCTCAATATTTTTTTATCAAGTTTTAGAATCAAAATTTAAAATTGGTTTGGTTTGTAGAGAACACATTATAGAATAAAGATATCTGAATGGTGTCTCAGCTGAAGCTGTTATGACTGAGAAGGCAGAGTGTAATTTAAATGTGAAGAAATATTTTTTTTTAATTTATAATTTAAACACAGAAGTATAATCTTACAATCATGCTATTTAGTCCTTATGGAAGGATGAATCTTTATTTTAAAGCTATCTAAATTGTTTTAAAATGTGCATTTGATGACAGTGTAAAAGGAAACAATAATATTTTTGCTGTTTTGTCCTGAAAACTGTACTTTAACTGAGGTATTGCTTTTCAGTAATGAGTCCAAGGAGAGTGGGATGAATGTTGCCATATGAAGGTCAAACCAATTTAGAGGTTTATGGAGTGTGATATCAGTGTGTTAGCAATGATTAAAGTGTAAGGGCAAACACATTAAAAACAACAATTCCTCTAATAAAGACACATCAGCTCTTGCATCAAAGAGATACATTTTTCCAACTCTCATTATAGATTACAGATTGAGACATATCCTGCTAGCAAGAATTTTCATCACTTTTGAAATGTCATTCACTGCACTTGAATTGATGCAGTGCTAAGAACAAAGAAATAAGGAAGTAATATAGAAAGCTAAAATTTAGCAGTACAAATTTTGGCTTTTTAAATATTCTTTTCTATTTAAAAAATGCAGGGGAAACTGTTACTCTGAAGAAATAGGATGTGATTGTCTAGAGGTTCACCTCTGTAGCACCCAGCGTAACCAATAAAAGAGTGCTTATTTAATTAAGAAAAAGAGGGAAAACATTGCAATTGTGACTGCTACTACTGTTGACCTGGTGAAGAATGATTTTCCGTTTTTCCTTTCAGAACCAATTCCAGCTGGTAGGCATGCCAGCCAGCATACTTGACACTTCTGGGCAAAATGTTGTGAAGGGACGAGAAAGAACCATGTTCAATCCTTTTATATTTTCTGGAAAAAAGGACATGTTCTCTCCCTCTCCAACAAAAAACAACAGGTTTTGTTTTGTTACTCTAAGTGTATGTGGGAGGGAAGTAAGCAAGAAATTATTAAAGCAGTGCCCTTCCCAACAAGCATCTTCCCAAGCTTCTAAATCCTGTCAGTGCCACTAATTCTTTAAACATGTGATGTCCATGGTTTTCTATATGTAGTAGATGAATGATAAAATATAGTGCATGAATGAGAAATTAACTCATTTTATTCCCAATAATATGTAGAGTGATGCTGTGTTACAGGAAAAAGAACCCGATAGTTGTATAGTTGG